GATGGAGTAGAGGACATTGAATTCCCGTCACTGTTATTACAGTTTACAACATAAATGTGACCATGCTCACTATCGTTTCTGAAATCGCCATTCATAAATGAGAACCTATTCTTCCCTATTATTCTTCTCACCGTCAGTACAACCGTTACAATATTCGTCTGAAATTTTGTTATAGTTGAGGATGTCAGAATTCAGAGTCTCATCGATGCTCGTAATGATGCGACCATTAGATGGGGCGATTCCTCAATGTACCACGTGTAATATCTCAATAATTATTCTGCTATCTTATTGTCACATGTATTATCTAAATTATCGAGATGACTGAACATATCTGAGACAGGATTAGGTTAAAGATCAGTCAGCCGCAAACGACCCAATGAAAAGAGTCAAATCAGTCCCGGTGACGCCACGAATTCTCGTGGGAGGATACACAAATAGTTTGAGGTATCAATCTCAGGCTCTGGAAGTGATTTGAATAACAAAAATCACCTTTTTGACAGACTATATAACACTTGTGTGGACAGAACATTAAGAAGTGCCATAGTCCATTGTGCCAGCATGATGATTACGGAGTTTTCGTAAAAACATTCTGTGACGTTGAACTAGAACACTTTAAGGAACCGACTTTTCATTCAGAACAAAAAATTCAAATCACCGACAGATAGCTTGTATTACTGAGAAGATTAATTCCAATTTTAAACCTTTATTTTCGAAAGCATGGCAGTTGCTAAGTGAAGCGTGAAACACAGCCAAACACCGAAGGTTATTTATCATACAGAATACAAAACAGCCAAGTCATCAAGAGGATGAAGTTCCTACCTGGTTGTTTGTCTTGTCTCCCTGACTTTCTTAATCACTAACTAGACCTCAGTGGCCATGGCATACTGCGTTGTAGAAACAACACGCATATGGTCATGAGGTCCATCAGAAATGGTTGGATGAGGACTGAACGATACCGGTGTTTTTAGTATGCCACAAAGCATAGACGTCAGAGATTTCCGAAACCAATGATTTAACTAGACTTGTATCCTTCTGTGAATTAAGTAGCCACTGATAATTACCGGCCATGTTACTTACGATCAGTTTTGGATTTTACTCCAGCTCAGTTAGCAGTCGTGTCCAAATATCTGTGTACTTAAAAGATTGAAGACTGATGCTTTTTTGGAAATGTGGGCCGAAATCTCTCTCGTTCTTAATTGACCGCACCCACATAACCTAGAAAATCATCGTATTTGCCAGTTTTGAATGTATATATCGCATGTTTGACACTGAAGAATGGTTTCCAAACCATTGGCTAAGTGACACGACTTAACCATCAGAACACCTCCTGAGTAGATTATGAGGGAGAGTCAGATTACAATACTGACCGAATTCTAGTGGAACCAGCTTGCGTGGTAACAATCCTTCAATCCTAGCGTCATTCTGTGCGGCAAAAACAACTTTAAATAAATTTTCGTATTTTGGATGCCACGATTTTCAATCCACCGGCTGCGTTATTGGAGTGGCCTTTAGAAATGCATCATGCTAACCATGAGATTGTAGATGTTCTCGTTAGTGAATAAGCACTGACAGACGAAAGCCTCTCGACTTTATTACCAGAGGCTAAACGTAACAGATATAATAGGCTTCTGGTACCACATGCCACGGACACTGAAGATCTCCACATGCGTATACTGTTGCTTAGAGTGAATTCGATAAGTATCAGTGTAACGCCACCCAGTGATAAGTTCTCCAAGAATTAGTGACAGACTAAATATTTGAAGAGTTTCTTGCAAACTTTGGTTCAAAGGGTATTTCTTTATGGAAGCAATTGCACAGATGAACTGCTGTAAAATTAAACATAAAGATGGATGACTTACTTATCGAAGTACCAGGTTTCAGTGGTGTGGGCCAGTGACCAACACAGTTTAAGTAACGAGTATTCCTTGACGAAAGTGCATCATTCAGACAGCAGAAAGGCACTGGTTAGGGATTTTAAGAAAGTGTGTCTCTCGAAAACTTCAGTCAATGAGCAGCAGTATGGACATTTCTACGTCTCTATCGTTGCACTTCCTGTGAAAAATCGAGGTTATTCCTGCCGAAAAACATTGATTTATTTTCTCAAACACTTTTGAAGGAATCCTGTCTGGGATCTAGAAAGGCGGAACGATTTACGAACATCTCAGCACGCGCATTCATTACAAACCTGTACGGTCAAGTGATTATACTGCAGCGGTATGTAATTCCCCAGAATTATTAGCCACAACATTCATCAATGAATCATGGATGGTGACGCTCACTGTTTAAGTCGAATGTTTTAGCTGAGGGCTTACGGCCAAGCATCCACGCCATTTGGCACGCCATCGTGTCACGTTCATTAGTTCGTGCACAACCTCCAACTAGTTAAGCAATCGTCTTGCACTCCGATTCTGTCCCGAAGTATAATTCGTAGTCTATCCGATGAATTATGTTATTTCGTTTTGCCTTTGGTCTACGCGGAACGAATACTATAGAAGTTGTGGGTATCAGACTCTACATTAGTATACTTCGTTATATCCGTGAACGTCAACACCCTCAGCCTCTAAAATACGATACACACCAAAATCTGCAACGCCACATTACTAGCAGTCAGGACCTACGACAGAACGAATAGCACTCGTATAACTGGCTATTTCTCATGGTCTCTTAGATTTACAATAGCAGATACCTCCAGAAATCTTTACTGATGCTGCACAAAATACTGAAGGTAGTACTGGGTCTAAATGACCACCGAAATGAGTTGCTGGCCCGTGTATATAGCCTCGGTAGATCCGGACTATCCATCGAACCACACTGTTCTTCAGTAGAAGTACAGGCCCAAAGAGAAGCTAGACGCGAAAATGGGAAAACCTGCTTGAAACTAGCTGATTCGTTAACAGATCTTAAAAATGAGTGCAACGAAGGTCTGTGTGGGTAAGGTAGATCTTGTAAAACATCTTAATGCTATCTACACCAGCGTCCTCAGTGTTGAAAATAAATTCCAAGAGCTAGGTGTAAAAATTGATAAGGTGGGTCCAGCCATAACAAATATCAAAGAATATCACTTTTTCCTGGCATGCAAAAGATGCCTGATTTATCACGGTTTAGGTTTTTGCACAGATGCATCGTCAGTGATCACAAGGGGAATGGAGTATTCCTTTTCACTAACAATCGCCATATCGCTCCTTTGTGAGAATCTCTGGCTCATGAAAGGTCACTCAAAATGACTACCTACGACGATAGTTTTAAAAGGAATATATAAATCAAAATCCCGACTGTCACTGTGATGGCATCGTATTAAGAAACGTCGTCTCTAGGATCTGTTAATGGGTTTGATAGTTGACTGCTCTTTAATATCCTTAGATAACACCTTAGCTCTGCCCAAAGGTCTTCCTTGTCAGACATACTGCCGACATCAGCAGTCTATGTATTCATTCTCATTTCGTAACTACTGTCCGTGTGTAGTCATCATCCAATGTAATGACTTGTGATCAAGTTAAAAAATCTTTTTGCACCCACCAAATGGCAAAAAGGAAGCAAGGCTACTTAAAAATTAGCATGCTGTTCTGACGTAGTGTCTAGGTGTATGAAGGGATGACTCAGGAGAATGTGTCACTGTCCTTGATCTTCTATTTGATGGTGGCTCAGTAAGTATCGCTGGTCATAATTTGACAAGATCTGAGGGTCCATCAACTAATTTCATCCTAATATTCTCTCAGAATGTGGCCAACTAGTACTAGACTTCTCAGAAGGTGATCTAAGAATGGAAATCATTCTAAGGCCACTTCTAAAGCCCAGTCCTGATAAGGTAAGTGGTCCTGGCACACTACATCCAAGGCATCACCAGCACTAAATGGGACTATCACGGAACCAGTTGAATGATATTCAGAATATCACAGAGCCAGTTTCTGTCTCCAAGAGATGGGAGGGATGTTATCATCGCCGCAGCCTACAAATTGGGGTTAAATTGTAGTTAAGGGCTATTGCCTCGTCAGTTCGATCTATAATAGGGTTGAACTACTCGAAAGAATTGTGCATGATGCTGTTTATCAACTCTCTGAAAGCAATAAATTTTTGGCCAAAAATAGTTGTGTTAAGAAATGTCATTCTGCTTTTAGAGCGGAAAATTTTCTAGCAAAGTCAGGTAGTAATGGAACTAATAAGGTGGTAAGAGACTAGGTTCAGAACTTCGGTAAGGATAGAAAACAGAATGTGAGGCTCATGGGCGTGTGTCATCATGACAGCAGTTTAAAAGTGACATGCCTCGAGCTGGTATTCTGCTACATACGCAATTATATAATAAGTGTACGTTCGGTTACTAAGTAGGAGTGAATATAGACGGCTGACTAAAACACAGCTGACTGTCGATAAGCGCCTGAGAAGATTACTGGCTCTGAATAAGGGTTTCTCTTAATCGGAACTCATTTAGAATATGAGATTCACTCTTCAGATGCATAGGATGCATATTAAAGAGGGTTCACAGAGGACTAAGTTGATCAAAGGATTTCAAAACCTCTCAAATAAGGAGTTGGATCTACTAGGATTCTTTCGAGCCCTTTATTGAAGATTTATGATGCATTTCATTCTAGTTTTCCTATTTCACGCAAAATTTTGGTGTTAATTTATACTATCATTTCCTCCTTTCCAGAACTAACCATTTTTGATGGTGCAGCCTTAGAATGTTGTCGAACCACACATCTGACTCGGAGTTTGGTCCCTGGTCAACGCACTCCTAAACTTCGCTAAGCCAGTAGTAAACCCGGAAAAGAGGGAAGGTTGGGGGTGAAAATGAAACCATCGCTGCTGGAACTGCAAAGACATAGCTTCAAGCCCTATTTTCCACTCTGAATACAGAGGCCTAAAGCCCACTGTCTTTGAAAAACTATAAACTTTGAAAATTCAGACACAGCTATGATAGTCCTCGAATAGTCTACTTATTCGGTATATAACTTCAGTCGCCGATTATTTTGTCTTATTAACACTTGAACATTTAGGACATGTGAAATAGTTTTAGTCATCTACCACTATTGCACTAAGGCATACCTCAAAAGCGCGCGGTGAATCCGGTAACCATGCTTGTAAGTTTTTGTGTATCAGTTATGTGATTTCCTTCCTGATTCCAGTTGTGTGTGCTTTATTTTCTAGCTGATTTTATTCTATTGGTTAACCTTTGTATAGGTAATGTGAGATGGACTTAAGTTTTTCTAAGTACAGTAGGTATACCTGTATATTAGGATGCATGTATTACTAAGCATACAATAGGGTTAGCAAAACATGAACTGACGCTCTCTCTGTGTAACAAGTAGATGACAGAAAAGTGCCGAAGTAGTATACTTTTCCATATGAAGCAAAAGTGGACTATTTTCTTCATGACCCTCATTAGTTTAGAACCAACTGGCGTTTGTAAGCCTTAGTCCAACATTGAAAAGCATTACTTCCTTACAACCTCCATCAATTCAACATTCAGTGCAATTTATCAGCACTTCTGGTACTAGTTTAACATAGAGTAGGTCTTTTATCAGCACAAAACGCACCTTTGGCAACCAACCGCTTTGTCCACGCATGGTTCAGGATTAATTGTTAACTTTATGATGAAGATTCCACATTATTAAATCTATAAAGATAGAATGTTTGGGTGCATACCTGGTGGTATTTGACTTAGAGACATACAGTTTACGTTCATCATATTCAGGAAACTGATGATTGGGTCTGAGCATTTGTGGTGTGTTACATAATACGTGGTAGCCTTGTCCTCGTCATCATTATCATAGTCCGCCAATGACGAAGTAATTACACTCTCGAGATGTTTTTATAAGTTGCGTTTACATAATTTGATTATCTAGGTCATACTTTAGTAGTATGTTGTAGATTGGCCTATACACCCGTATCATATAAGATAATACTAGTGCTGCAAACATTTTTCTCATACACGCATTACGTTCTTATCCGTGGATTGCACAGGAGTAAATGACACAACTTAGTATTTTACGAGTATGACCACGGATTGATATCAGTTAGAGAACCATTGAAAACCAGGGAGTACTGGACAGCTGTTTCATCCTAGTTTGGGAATCATCGTCAGTACCCACCGCCAAGGTTCGGACCCCAACTCTCGAAAACAACTCAGTATGATAAATATTAGGTTGAAACCATTTTCTGCCTCCATTGCAAAACCAATATGTTCTGCTCAATGCAAGTCTTACCTGTTGAGACGAGTAGAAAGTAGTGAGATATCAAAGCAAGTACCTTAATATGATTCCTAAAATGTAGACGCTCAGATGTTGGTTGACTGCAGATGCGTTTCGATGTTCGCTAGGTGTTATTCTACGTATTCATTGTGAAGCCATCTTCGATGTCGTGTTGTACGTATTGACTATAAATTCGCAATTTAGAAATAAGTTGAAATAGTGCTTATTGTTTCACGCGAAACAGAGCTAGTCTCTAGCAAAGGTTATTCGACTACATAGCTTTGTCAAAAGTTTCCCCCCGCCTGTTGATATGCTTAAGTATGCCTGGTTGGGGTCCTAGGAATTCTAAGAACCAACGGCTGGAGAATGTTAGTAAGATGGCTCTCAGTGGCACACTGCATCCCAGTCCCATTAAGTCCTGGTGATTTTCCATGTTACCATACTTTTTCCCGTACACTTCTGCTTATTATAGCTCCTTGGAATTGCTGTTTTTGTGGGCTATATGGAGTGTAGCAACTTAACTTCCTGCACTTCTAGGTAAATTTTTATGTTGAAAGTCAGTATGAAGACTAATCAAACGTTCCTACTTTGACTAATTGTCTACTAAAATTACTAATTTCTTGGTGTGCTATCTCAATTAGCTTAATAGAAATTTACTAGTTCAATGCTTAAAAAGCATGTCTCTTCCACTTTGCTAAATGCTCTGAGTATTTCTTCACTTTCGTTTCAGCAACCAGCTAGAATTATTTTATTGAAAGAGGGGACCGACACATCACAAGGCGTGCCGCAGATAGTAAGTAACATAACTGCATGCGAAGCAGTTGCCGATGCTATTCGTTCTACATTGGGTCCCCGTGGTATGGACAAACTCATAATCGAGGACAAGGGAAAAGCTACTATATCAAATGACGGAGCTACAATCCTTAAGCTTTTGGACGTCGTTCATCCTGCAGCCCGTACCTTGGTCGACATCGCACGCGCACAAGACGCCGAAGTTGGGGACGGAACAACAAGTGTCACACTTCTAGCAACTGAATTCTTAAAACAGGCAAAACCTTTCCTAGAGGAAGGTGTTCATCCATCTGTTATTGTTCGTGCATATCATCTTGGCGAAAAAATGGCATTGGAAAGGTTAGAAAGCATAGCGTGCCGTATTAAGCGAGACGATCCAAGGTAGGTTGCTTTCTTTTCATATATTAATGTATCTTTGCTACCAGTTACAAAGTGTAAGTACTGCTTAGAACAGCTTGGAACGTGCGTCCATTTTGTTCATGTTGAGTTGATTCGTTCTCATTAGTTATATGTTAAGCTTTGTTTAATATAAGTCAAGTAACTAAGAAAAGTTATTTCAGGAAAGAGAACTGATGGTATTTTTAACTGTGTAATGTTCTCGTGTGTTTGGTGTATAAATACATTAAGTTTCTCAGTTCTAAAAGTTCTAAATATCAAGTGCACTGGACAGGAAAACTGCCAACGTTTATTCTTAGTATAATTTGGTGGATTTCTTAAATGATTGCATGTGTAAATTTTTGTTTTCAGTGAGCAGCGTGCTCTATTGGAGAAATGCGCATCCACTGCACTTAGTTCAAAGCTGGTGGCTACTCATAAGAAATTTTTCTCTAAATTGGTCGTTGATGCTGTCAGCTCGTTGGATTCGTATCTTCCTTTGAAAATGATCGGAATTAAAAAGGTAAATAACTATTGTTTTGATGTTTTTCAATTGCTTTTCACCGTGTATTCAATATCTATTCTCCGTTTACTGTGTATCGAGGTGTGTCTCATTGAGGCAAACGCTTGTCTTCCAACCATTAGGTGATTGGTTCGAATCCCACTCTACCTACCGAGGTTGGGGCAGTTAGATAGCCCCATTGCGAACTGTATGGAATTGAGCTTATTCTGTCTATACCATTTGTTTTTTCTTGAGAAAGTGGAGATGCTCACTCGTATTTTACTGCTTTTGCATCTGTTTAGATGCATTGAGTTGGTACGTTACATGAGCACTTCATTTTGAAAGCTACTTATTCTGCGGTTTCCTAAAGCAGAATTGTCTCAGTGGTTATTTTAAGTCAGAATTTCATACTTTCGCAATAGTTTCTTGGCAATGCATTTGCGAAATTGGTTTGTAATACTCTTCGACTAAAGATAGCAGTGAAGTTATCCATAAACACTTGCCTTTCACACTATCTTAGCATGCCTTTTAGGCAGGTGGATCTTCCCTACACGACTATTTTGAACATTATCATCACGACTTTTAGATAGATTCTTGCGCAGTATTGGTGTATGTTGGAATGAGGAAAGTGTTGTATAGTTTCGAAGTATGACATTTTTAGTTCACTTCATGGACTGAAGATAGTTGTTAACACCTAATTCATCATATTGTAACTAGGGTCAAACTAAAGCTATGTAGATCGTTCGCAATCCTTTAGAATGAATTGATGTCTTTAAGGAGACTTTATGAGTAATACTATGCAGCTCCCTTGTCACCACCTGTGACGCGGATAACGACAGTAACTACCAAACATAAATACCATTGTCAAGTTTCCCTGTTGATTAACTCCCGTGAATACCGTAGTCGTGAGTAATGCTATAAGACTGTATGTCTTCCTGTCTACAAAAATTATTTAGATAAGTGTTCATTTCCTCTACTAACCGTGACACACAGCTTCTGAATCAATATGCCTCTCACTTTTGCATCTTGGTCGTGCGGTGCGTTACTACAAACAACACTACTGTAGCCTCTACTAATCTGGCTCACAGATTTTTAATATTCATCTGTGAAACAGGTTCATGTAGCTAAACAGCGTCGTCGATAATTTTGCTCATTGCGATGTTCAGCCTGTGTATCGTTTCTGAACTAAATCTCACTTATTTCTATCGTACTGTAACTGTAAATTCCATGGAGCATTTTATCCACTATGTTAATGAAAAAAATAAAAGCTAACGAAGAGTTTATACATTCTGATTCGTGAAAACAATGTCTTATGTTAGTTCTGTAGCCCTTAAATCTTTAGAGATTGTTAGGCTTTTTTCTTGTTAACTTGAATCCAATTTCATTTAAACTATTTTAATTAAAACCAAAATAGATTTGAGGAAACAATAACAAAGTAGAATTTAATTTTTAACGTTCATCCTCTATGCTGATTCCAGGGAATATTGTAGGAATCACTAATATGACTCTATGTCAATTCATTCAACTCTTAAACTTTAGGTGAAACAGTGCATAAAGTCAGTCTGTAGTGGATGAATTGATGAGGAAAAAGAACAGGACATATTTGTTGCATATATTCTGTTAAAATTGTCTCGCATTCACCCTACCAACTATCCTTGATCCATCTTGTGAAAGTGAATTGGCATTTAGTTTTTCATAACTTGTGCACATTTACTATGAGCACTTACTATTGAACCAATTCATTTTATTTTAGGTTTCTGGTGGAGGACTGGAAGATTCCATGCTTATTGAAGGTGTCGCTTTTAAAAAAACATTCAGTTATGCTGGTTTTGAAATGCAACCAAAGTGTTATAAATCTCCGAAGATTGCACTTTTGAATATTGAATTGGAATTGAAAGCAGAAAGAGAAAATGCTGAAGTTCGTGTCAATTCAGTAGAGGTATGAATCACCAGTTTCACTTTATAGATTTCATTTTTTAGGAGTATCAAAAAATTGTTGATGCTGAATGGCAAATCCTTTATGAAAAACTGGATATTTTGCATAAAAGTGGAGTGAAAATAGTCCTGTCTAAATTGCCTATTGGAGATGTCGCTACCCAGTATTTTGCTGATCGTGATATGTTTTGTGCTGGTCGTGTACCTGAAGATGATTTAAAACGCACCCAAATGGCTTGTGGTGGAAGTGTGCAAACAACTGTTCATGGTCTTGCAGATAACGCTCTAGGAACCTGTGACGTCTTTGAAGAAATTCAGATTGGATCAGAAAGGTAAGTCAAAAAGGGGATGCAGTTGAAATAAGTTAGAAATCAATATACTGCTCAAAAAGTAAATTGTGGTCTCTCGAATTGCTAGCCAGTCATTTTAGGTACATTTAGAAGGCTGATTGATCTTCGGTCTCTTTATGAATTTCAGTATTACGACAACCTCTGAACCTTCAGTTTCAAGGCTACCAGTGGAAACCTCGATTTACACTTATTCTGAATGGTTGTTTGGCTGAAATACAAAATGCGACTTACTAGGTGATGTATATCCCCATAGAGTAGTTGATTTCTGATCTCACTAAGTTCTCAAAAAGTATGAATCAAAGTTGATTGTAAATACATAAATTCTACGTACTGTGTTAATCGGGTTAAATGCGCTAAACTACACCTTGTCCTCTGGAGTCATTCCATCAGGTCCCGCTGCTTTGCCTGATGGAATGACCTTGTGCATACGACGTTGATTTTAACTTATATCTGCGCTATGTTTTCCCACCACATAACCTTACTAAATAGAACGTACATATTAACTTTTCAACTCTGGCCAAAGGCGCAAAGATTGCTTATCATCTGAGCAGAACAACAGGGCCTCGTGATTTCTTTCTAGAAAAATGGACAAGGGATGGAAGTGTTTCTCAACGACTAACTTGCATTTCAATACAGTTGGCATCGACCTACACCTATTGTGTAAGGAATAATAATACCACTACCTGGAACAGTGTTCAAATCCATAAATCAGCGCCCAGATTATTGATAAGCTATAGTATATGAGGAAAGAGACATCTACTTTCCAATTTTCTAAGTTCCATATTCGTATCGAAACTAAATGGAGCTTAAGGTAAAAAAAAGCAAAAATATCAAATGAATTTCAGACCCTAAAGATAATTCATTGATTTTATCAGTAGCCACGGATAATTTCTGGAACACGGACATACCAGCAACTAACACTTGGCACGTGTTAAGGTTTTTTGTATTTCCCAATGAATGAAAAACAAAACGATATTGTTTTCACTGACGTTTCGCTATTTAATGCTGCTAATAGCTTGATCAAAGTATTATTAAACCAGAATTTACAAGATCTCAGCTCATATATAACAACTTAATCATCGTTTCTCAGCATGGGGTCATTTTCGCGTTGTCAAATTGGTCAGTTCGTAAAGATAACAAAACCAGGTGTAGATTATTGTTGGATTTGATAAGTGTGTAAAATTATAAAAGCAGCATGTGTTTACATAATGAAATTGCTTATCACATTCGTGTTGATTTTGTGATTTCATTGGGAAGGTTACAACACCTCCCTCCCTTCTGGTTTAATTAATACTTTGATAAAGGTATTAGCATTAAACAGCGAAACATGAGTAAAAACAATATCGCATTGTTTTTCATTCATTGGGAAATACAAAAAAACCTTTATTATAATGAATATCACATATACCCAATGCCCAAAGTTTTTTTTTCAAACTGCTAGAAGTGAACTTGGTTTGGACATATATAACTTGGCACGTGTCTTGATTTTAATGTAGCATTTGTATTTATCGATCGATGGGTGTGGTTACAACATCTAACTTTATTAGAACAATGAGAAGGTAGTTTGCTAATCCAGACAATATACTGGGACTGATGAATGTATTTCTCTCTTTCCACACTTAAAATGATAAAACAAACAGGTCTATATGAGACGACAGCTGAAGATTTTTCACAATACTTCAAATATATATATTTATTGTCATTGACATTCCTAACTTTTTCAGCAAATTATACTCTGTGGGGTGTCCAATTTTGTCTACTATGGTTTCATTCTGATTTTGCATTTCTTCTTAGTGTGCCAACTTGAGTTAATGCTCAGTTCACTATCTCTGAGGTTGTTAATATACTGGATTAAGGAAAAAAACCCAGAAATTCTACTTTGTTAGGCTTTTCATTCTGGTCTTTATAGAGTTACGCGTTTTTATTTTCACTTCCACCATATTTATTACTAACTCATAACTCCGCTTCATAAATTTACAAATTCCAGATTCAATATATTCAAGGGTTGCCCTCAGGCTCGTACTTGCACAATAATTCTTCGTGGAGGAGCTGAACAATTTATGGAAGAGACTGAACGATCATTGCATGATGCTATTATGGTTGTTCGAAGGGCTGTCAAAAATGATGCTTTTGTTGCCGGTAAGTGAATGCTTCAGTCCTGTGTAATGTACGGAAGTAAGACTCATTAACTGAGGAAACGTCTGAAGGTCAACTAATGGATACCTATTCGTTCACTTCATTTGAAATGAACGGGTTAGTATCCATAAGTTGTTCTCATACAATAATTGTGACCCATGGTCCCCCAGCCCAGTAATTAACTTTCCTTTCTTAATTCTCGAAATATACCCATTAAGACATTGAAATAAGAACAAATTAGTTCAGCGAAGAGTCTCTTTTCGGCGAATTCATTCACTTAGCTGTACAGTCGCAAATATATATACAATTATTTTGTGTGTGTGTACATTAGGTTTGTCAAAATCAAAATAACAGTTAGTGTGGGTTGTTGATTATATCATCAAAATAATAAAGAAATTACAATGTGTGATTAATAATCAAAGTTGTAACTAAGTGGGGTGAAGATTGGTAAAATGTGAGTAGAGTTACATCATCAAAATAATAAAGAAATTAAAATGTGTGATTAATAATCAAAGTTGTAACTAAGTGGGGTGAAGATTGGTAAGATGTGAGTAGGGTTACGTAATATAGACATGTTTAGAAAGATTAGATGCTAGTGAAGGAGTTTGGAGACAATTATGAAAATAAACTAGATAATAGGTGAAAAGATTGAATGGGTTAGTTACTAAAAATTGTTATGCGAAAATTGCAAAAAATTTGATAACAAAATGTTGATGACAAATAAACTTGAAATTAAACCCACGATAGTAGGAGGGGGTGGAGAAGTTTCTTCTGTGTGCATAACTCAGGCTTTTCTATCCAAATCGCTAAGGCTTCAGCAATACAAAGTATACGGAAGCTTGTCGATTTTGGAAGGCTTCTTTTGACTTTATAGAGGACTTTGAACGACTTCTCTTTGCAAATCGAATGACCAGTGTTGAGTATATGCTCAATAATGGCGCTCCTTATTGCTCCGTTGTTACCTTTCCGTAGCCAGGCGGGATAGTGTTCTTGAACTCTTTTAGATAAAACACGCATCGAACGACCTATATACCTCGCTCCGCAAGAGCAGGTGAATTGGTAGATACACATGGAAGTGGTCAAATGCCATAGTTTATCTTTAGAGTAGTTGAAGAACAATGGCCGGGAGGAAAATGTCAGTCGTAGTGTGGCAGCGAAGAATGTCCTTCTGAGAGCAGTAGATATCCTCTTCTTCAAGGTGTCAGCCAGAAGGTCACCTTTGAAGGGTACATTCATGTAGACCATCTTCTGCACTGTAATGGGTTGTTCTTTGTAAGTCTTAGGCTTAATTTGCTTGTCTATAAAACCGGGTGGGTAGCCATTCTCGAGCAGTGTCTTCCTTAAGAGGGCGATCTCTTCCTCTATTGATTCAGGACTACAGATTTTTCGGATTCTAGTCGCCAGAGATATTATCAAGTTTCGCTTGCGACTTATTGGTACCCAACTGTAGAAGTTTGTCAACTGACCGTTCCATGTAGGTTTTCTGTGTACTGATCTGTTCAAGGTACCATCGGTCTTCTTACTTAAACGAACGTCCAGAAAGGAGATTGTCTCATTGGTTTCTACTTCGAATCGCTAAGTAATAACAATATTCATAATCACATCTGCTTCTCTTTACTAGGTGGTGGAGCTACTGAAATGGAACTAAGCGGATATCTTCGTAATGAAGCTCTCAAAAATGGAGGACGTGAACAACTATTGATAAGTGCAATGGCTAGGGCATTCGAAGTTATCCCTCGTCAGTTGTGTGACAATGCAGGATTGGATTCAACTATTATTTTGAACCAGTTACGTCATAGTCATGCAAAAGGTAATTTAGTAATTTATTTTGGTTTTAATTTTGAAGATGAACATTTTTTACCTGATTTCTTATGCTGCTTGCCTACAGTTTTAAAAGTATACTTAATCGCAAAGGAGTGGTGCCAAGAAGAAACTTGATCGAAGGCGATATTTGTCATGTAACTTAAACAAGCAAATAACTTGTGTATGAAGTCAGACTCTGAATGAGATTCTTGACGTTCTTTTCCACTTGGCTACAATATTTTGACATATTCCCTCACCGCTACGTGTGATGTACATTAGATTTCTTCGCAAAGAATATTCAGTGTCCCCCCCCCCAAACGTAAACTTGAGGAAAAAAGTTTTTGAGCCTTTTCAGTACTTATCATTACTTTCAACGTCAAACAAAGTGAAATGAGTGGAAGGGCATATAATTTCTCACAAAAAAGTCAATGTTTGACACAGTTTCAATTTCCACACTACGTAGAGAACATAAGTAAAATAAGAGCTTTGAAATAAGATGGATGAGGTGGAGTAAAAGTAGATTGCTGCTAACAAGGTTTTTTACTTGGAGCATCAATATAGCTCTCCATTTAGGTAACACAATTTCACCTTCTTTGGATAGACTTTTATGCTTTTGACCGACAGTGTAACCATCATGACTTATCTATGTAACAAAACAAAGAAGACTGTTGAAAGAGTACCTTGTTTATGCTGGAGATGATGCAGTGGAGAATTTCTCCACAGTGTAGAGGTAACTTCTAAAATACGTGAAATATTCGTCCTCTAGCACTGTAAACCATTTCAAACTTAATCACCTTCCATCTACACAGCGTATGTTGAAGTAATTCAGATTTTTGTAAAAAATTACATTTGTTAAATCTCAGCGAGATTGGAATGAGTAATTCCAACGTTTCGTACGGCGATCTGGTCCGAACGAAATGTCTACTTCTCACTCGGCGCCCAAATATTTTTGAAATATTCAGTCAAATCTTGACGACAGTTCATTTGAATCCAGATTTTTGTTTAAGGAGTTCAAAAACATTTAAGATTTACCTAAAATAATCCCACTGTGTTAAGAAAATTGAAACAGAACTCTCGTAAACGTTTCGTGATTCCTAATCGTCTGTTTTAGGTAATGTAAACTACCATGTATTTATTATTTAATCTTAATGTAACAAAGTTTATATTATAAATTCATTTTTTTTGAATAAATTGTTACAATTGTAATAAAATCTCAAAATATTTGTATAATTTGCAGGTGAAACATGGGCAGGTGTGAACATTGAAAAGGAATGTGTGTGCGATAATTTCGACAATGGTGTTTGGGAACCAGCTCTTGTGAAGAGTAATTGCATTATTTCGGCTACTGAAGCAGCATGTCTTCTGTTGAGTGTTGACGAAACTATCAAGAATCCTGAGTCCAAGAATCAAGATGATCAAACACCTGTTCGACCTCGTGGGATGGGTCATTAATTGTTAATTAATAGTTAATAATAAAAAAAATCAAGTTTTCATAAATCTTTATCCGCTTTGTGTTCTTTTAAATAGTTCTTGTAAACACTGTAGTTTAGTTCATAAAGTTTGCCTGAATAACTTACTAGTAAGGGGTTGATGTAGTTGTTAGAACATTCGTTCCGTATTGATTGGTGGCTATACATAATAATAAGTATCGATGCATTGATGTTATCTTAAAGAACGATTATGAGTACAAACTACTCGCAAACTTGAGAAAGTACTTAAACTTTTCCTGGTTCTGCGAAGTATACAAAACAGTTTTGACGAGACGCAACATGGACACCGTGTGCGCTACGGGATACCGAAAAGACAGCATTTTCAAGCTGGTCGAGGTATGTATGAATGTACATATAATGGGTACAGAGTCTAGTGCAAAAATCAAGGAATCCTGCCACACCCTTTTATCAAGCTTGGCGTAGCGTAGATACTGGCCGTTCTGAAGATTTTGCTGAACATTCCATAGTAAAGCTTTCAGAAAGTACTCACCTGACATACCTAATTAAAAGTCATTCATAGTAATACTGGTTTCGGCAACCTCTGGCATTCATTGTGAGGTAGTATCAAAGTATCTCCTAGAAACTGGAGATGTTAAACCATATGTAAATGCTACATTCCAGGAAGCGTGGTGGCTACGTAAAACTTTAAATTACGGATATTGTAGTGATAGCGTAGAAGACCACTTACCACTATTTCTACGACTAGATTGTTTTCGGAACGATTCATTTTAGCTTCTCTGGAATGGGTGACCCGTGGTATTTCTGTATTCTAAGAGGACGATGTAGAACCATACACAAAATTTTAATTATTCAGTTTGCCATATCGCTTCTGGTAATTGTTAAATGACTGTAGGCAATGCCGTCGGTGTACTAGGCTACTTTCCTCGTCGCTGCGTGTCAAGAGTCTTGGAAGGTTGTTCGTTATATCTGTTTGCTTTATTGACACCAGACTTCTTGAAAGCTACAGTTATTATTGTTTTAAGCATTTCCTTATCACGAGTTGTGAAACTATTGTTACAACAGTTTGGTGACTGTTCACAATGGTCCGGGTTCATTCATTCTTCGTCTTCATTGTAACTGCCATCTTATATTCCTTCCTCTTTAGTTTCGTGGCGTATCCCGGGTTTTCATTATTGTTGTCATTGCTAACACACTACATGATTGTGTACCAACCCAATTTGTATCAGATATAGTAATAGAAGAGACGGTAGGGGCATAAAAATAATATGAATAAGATAACACAACGTAAAAGGAATGTTTCGCAACAGTCCCCGCCATTATGATGGATTTAAATTATCAATTTTCGGGTCACTGTGCCGTGTAACATAGCTTAAAGTACAAGTATCGTAAGGGTCAGAAAGCCTTGAAAACATTCTGAAGTCCATATTATTCAGGGAAGAATCTTGACACCATTTGAGCACAATACACAACAGCGATTTCGTAATGGCCAGTTAAATGGAAATATCTTAATTAACTGATAATTCTAAGGTCATAAGAAAGTCACCTTGACTCTTATTTCCTCAAATAGCTAGAAGGCATACGTTCAAGGCCTGGTGAACTCCAAGAGTACTTTTACTCTGTAGATAAACAGGGGATATTCTCTTGAAGACTCCCCACTTAAATAGGAGATGGGTTATTGATTAACGACCCTGAGACGTCACAGCTTGTCCAATGACCATTACATTTTGACTTCCCGTTAGACAAGTGTTATAATTACAAAGACCAAGCAATTTTTAGGTAGTACTAGCCTTCGGAATGTTTTATTACAATGCTTAAAGTAAATAATCGAAATGGCCATTAATCACTTCAGAAACGCGATATCCAAATTAGTACATGAAATATGGTTGTATTACCAATTCAACAGAACACCGAGTTTATAGTTGACAAAAAGCTTGTTGACGTTATGAAATCACCATAAGTTAAACTACTGGTAACGTTGAACTTCAGGATCCCTATAAGTTTGTCTGTGGTAGAATAGGCTGTAGGAATCGAATTCAAATCGTCAACCTGGCAATCAGAGTTGCTAATTAACTACAAGAAAATTTTCACGTAGTACATGAACTACAGCAAAAAATCCACAGTATTGATATCAAAATATAATCTCTAGTAGTAATGACAGCCGTGCTAAGTATTTACTATACACGCCCCTATTGAAAAGTCGTCAACATACCCTGATTCCTATTCTTGGCTTACATCGGAACTGTTGAATATGAGACCAAAAATAAAGGGAAGTAAATTCAAAAAAGAAATTATAATTCTGATAAACATTAGTTAATTGCACATTGTTTTAATATTGCATAGTTTAGCGAAAGACTAACAAACATTGGAAAAGACACCAATGTACTAAATGTTGCTCGGTCTATCCGTTGAAAGCGTATTCTGCCTTGTTATGCATGATGAGAGCTCCATTGACAAAGTAAAAACTATCCGAACGTGTTTCAAAAGGGTTCTCAACCATATCGTTAACTGAATAACGCTAAATAAAATTAATATTATTACAAATTACCATCAGCATCAGTGAGTTTCGGGAACTCATAGATGTGCTCCACCGTGTTTACTGAATTAGGCATGACGAAGCCAAAGTTAAAATCGAAGCTTTTAAGCAGTTTGTCCTTGAAATAATGACGTTCAATCATGCGAAATTCCGAAAGATGTTTATTTCCATTAGAAAATTCGACACTAAAAGGTTTTAGAAACGTATAAGAGGACTCACGTTGCCCCAACAGTCTTTAAACGTAGAAATTCTTTGTTAAACTGGTATCTTATGCATCTGTGTTGTTCGAGGTCTTTTTGGGAATCTAAAATAGATAAACTAGAGAAGTTCGACTAAACAATGCTACATTCTGATGGTGGTTTCTGAACTTCAAAGATAATATTGTTACTGTCAACGTCCCTCAGAGAAAAGCTTAGGAACCGGATGTCATAGCTGTTTCGATTGGGTGAACATAAATAGCCTTTGATTTAACAAAGACCGATAAATCATATAACTGAGAAAATAATATTCCTACCTATAGTTGCTGTTTTCAGCTTTAAAACATCTTCAGCACTAACCACCTCCTTAGATGCTAAAATTCTCTCAAATTCGTAGTTATCCTTATCATTTTCAGTCATCCTCCGCTCATTTTGTTTTGGAAAATGACCGAAATTCTCCACACCCTCTCTAAGCATTCAATCGCGCGGAAGCGCCACTAGTTGCTATGTTGCAAAACATTTACTGAAGAAAAAGAAAACAATCGTCACTCATGTAATAACTTTAGACAAATTCAAATTACTGAATTTGATGGTGTAAGAGTGGTAAGGCTAAAAATATCTGTAACATACACGTCAACGATTAGTGTTCGGTTTTAACTGATGAGGTTAGTAATTAAACTGTGGGATTTTGTATTTGTTGACAGTAGGCTTCGTTAGATACACCAATAGCTTTAATTCCAGGCCATGGTTGTCCTACTGAGAATTTCCTAGTTATCACAGAAATGTTTCAAGTATTCCCTGGAAACCCAGAGATACCTGAAATGTTTTCTTAACTGCACTACTGTTCGACTTGCTTCCTCCGATATGTTGCTATACTCTTGAGCTCCGATATTTAGGCATGAATTATTACACAAAACTGTTCTTTGAAGGCAATGCAAATCTTAAATAATTAATTTTAGATTTCAGCGTAGTATCTCGATGAAATACGCATATTCATCCTTGCCTTGAGTTCTAACCTTACGTTTGTACCCTGTCGAATGCACAGGTGAAAACTATGTGCATGGGCTCCAGATTTCTTAGCGGGACGGAACCTACATCCTTGATTCTACTGCTACTTAATACACTACAGGTAAGATGGTACCAGATGATACAATCAAGCACCTATATTGGTGACCAATAGAATTCAAATCTGTCGTCAGTAGTTACATCAGTATTAGCGCCTAATGGATACTTGTGTAGCCGCCTTCACATTTAGGCAGTCGATTGAGGCTCTTTCTGAGTTTTCGGCTACTCGCATTCAACCTTAATTAATACCATGTAAAAATATGCAGACATATATCTGTTGACTGCTTTTTTCACTTCAGGTAAGAATTATATTGGTTTAATATACAAACTTCATCTCAAGTGATGACTATTTAGAGAAGCGGGTAAGGGATACTGTTTATGAAATAGCAGTGGAAAATAACATATTACATCACGTATCACTGTGATAGCAAATTCATTTATTCCTCTAAGTACGTACCCGGAGTAATTCTTATTGGAATGTCTATTCATACTCCCGCAATGTATTGGTAGTGATCTTAATATGCTACATTTCACCAACCCTCATCAGACGTAATTTATCTAGTCACCCAAAAATCCAGTACCCCACCTAACTTCTAAGCACTGGTGACGAAATACAAACCAAAAAGTCTTAGTTAATTGGAAGTTTGCTCTGGTTGGCAGTATATCCGAATGGATTAAAGGGTAAAAATTATCTAAGAAAAAAGACGTAGAACACATCTAACTAATTTGCTGTATTACAGTTTCAAAGGATGTACACCTTAACAGGAAAACTGGGAAGTGTAGAATGGCGTTGGAGCCAGGCCGAATGTATAAATGTTGAATCAAGGTCCCAAAATATTAGAAATAGCCCAGCGAATTGTCAGATGTTGGAATTCATAAGCCACTGGATCAAGTCCTAGTTGCCTAATGGTATGTAAACTGGCTTTGTAACCGAAGGATCTTGAGTCTGAAATTCAGTGGGCATGTACTGATGAAGAGTCCCAAGCCAGGACGAAACAGCTGTCCAGTACTCCTATGTTTTTCAATTCTTCTCCAAACGACGTCAGTTCATGATGAAATCCTGTAACTTTCACTGTGTTTGATTTTGAAGTTGTTTCGAATCTTCTGAATTTATATTGGGATTGTGCGATAAGAAGGCTGAAACCACCAAATGATATTCGATACGCTAGGGAGGCCTACACTAAAGTGGGCTTGAGCTGGAAGTGAGATAACATAAATGGATAAACGTTCAGTAAATGTACGGGCAAGATTTGTTGCCGTTTGTCTGGCAGCAGCGTCAAGATGTTCCCCTCTAGGGCTGGAGTCTCTTAAGCCGGAGAGTTAAGGATTTACTTGCATGCACCACTAATATTCCGACTTAGGCAGAGTGAGTGTCAAGAGGTGACAGCTATCGCTGGCAGTGGATACGGAAGAGGCTGTCTGCAGAAAGTGCAGAGCCGTACAATCATAGACGTCATGCTCGCATCTGCAGCACTATTGTGGTAATCTGCATTCATGCAGCGAAGCGTCAATAATACTTCAGAGCTGAAGAGTTAATTTAGTGAACCGCCATAGCTGCGACATATGTTTTGGCTGTTGTTGTTGTCGGAAGGTGCGAATATGCACCAGTGTGGTGAATGTATGCTTGCTGTGTGTTTGCCACTTTTGCTTTGCTTCCCATTTCAGCCTTCTTCTTTCTGGTCCAGGTCATTCTTTTGTTTACACGTCTTGATCGTTGGTAAGAAAAGAGATGGATCCTTTTTCGCTGGGGAGCATCACTAATGGTGATTACTGAGTCGGCGATCAATTAAATTCTTTACTCGGACCAGTTCGCTGTCCATCAGAGGCAACAACCCGTATCGTGGCTTTGACGTTTGCTCGTTGACAGAAGACCACAGCAACACGACCGGAAGTCATAATGTATGGGATCCTGACGTCATTGGTAGATTCTCTTAGTGTATTGATAGTAACCAGCTTTGAATCACATGGCCAAGCTGCTGTATAATTAACTTGATGTGTTGGCTTATACTTGGCTTATCAATAAGTCTTCGACTTATAATAATAGTTTACATTTCGTATAAACGAGTAAGTTTGCAAGAAATGCATTCCAATTTTACAGGTACGATCAGTTACGTTATAAATTACAATCGTGAAGTATTATAAATTAATACTTTTTCAGAATTTTAAATTGTTCAATTATTGTACAAGCAATTAGAACAGGTTCTTATAAATGTTAAATCGTAAACCCTTTGCTTAAGTCACCATCAAAGTTGAGCGACAACCGAAATTTCCTTCCGTTTCTTGCTGATAGTTATAGTCAACCAGTGAACAGCGTATATTTGGGCGAGCGCTATGCCGCCACGTGATTAAAAGCTATTTCAGGAAGAGCAGAACGTCCTGGGAAGCTGCAAAATGGTATCAAACACAATTGCGGATAATACATCGCTGAAAGTACATTTGCAAGATATATACAAGAAGGAGGTGGAGACTCCTGGGAATGATAGTATACATTTGTAATGTTCAATGCTAACCATATTTGTCTTACCATGGGAACTATGATGTTTTCGTTGAAAATATAGCTTTTCTCAAACAGTGGTGTTGTTGTCTTCTTCATCAAAGCAACCATACTTTAAGCAAGCAACAAATATGAACAAAGAGTAAGTTTCAGCTTTAAAAAAGGCCTAGGTAGTTAAGATAAAATAGAGCAAAATATTGCGCAAATAAGATTATCTTGAGGTAGATAAGTGATATTTCAGTGAGAAGTGGATTCAAAGATCTGAAAGGTCAGAATCTGTAGGACAAACTGACCTGTGAGGTGTCTCACGAATTTCTGTAGGACCCGTAAGGTAGCATCTTGATAAGAAGCTGAGTAGGCTTGTAGGTGTTAGGAGCAAAAGCATTCTTTAATAATTTATATCTGTTCGGCCATTACTGTTTTTTGCTAAGGATCTAGGCTCATGTTTAATTCTCACGCTGTCAGAAAAGGCACGTTGCCGTCTAAAAGTTCGGAGCGATTCATCTTTATGACCACCACCGTATCTGCTGATCAGCATGCGCCACCCTCCCTCCTTTTTGATGTTAAGCTCTGAGATGTTTTGCAACAGCTTAGCTGTAGCATTGCTTTACTCTGAGCCCATCCCAATAATACAGTATGCTGCATATTAATAGCTTTCATGACAAGTGCTTCCCACGAAGTCAGCAGATACATCGATGCCTGAGGACATTCTTAGCAGTATTATCTGCATACATACATAAGTGTGCATAAGTAGTGATCACAGACGACTGAGAAACTAAGTTTCCATTAAGAACTATAAAGCATGGAAGTAGTTAGTATTACAGAAACTAAGTTGCAGTCTATTTAGTAGAGTGAAATGAGCAGTTGGAAAGTTAGTGATGAGGTTATGTGGAATAATCCTGAAGAAAACAGCTGGTTAGCAGAACTATTTACGCTAAATTTTCATAACGGATTTTCATATAGTATGCTTTAGACACTGCAAAGTAACCCGTGAACTTATTTTATGTCAAAAATACTGCGAAATGTTTTAAAATTATATATTTAGGAAAGTATATGGGAAAACATAGTTATTGACAGAGTGTAGTCATTACTATACCTCGTTTAATACCGCTGCGTTGAAATGGGGCTGGTTATTTTAAATGTAATGCAATATTCAAAGTTCCAGAGAGTTGTGTTGTGGCCACAGAAAATTTTCCCAATTCCGTAATTGACAACCTCCGTCTTCTCTCTCTGGAGTCCTGTCTTCGCTTCTTCTTCAGACAGTTTATCGGATTTCGCCTGTAGGTCTTCGAGTTTGTGTGACGTTAAACATAAATCATCCATGCGCGAAATCCGGATCCCCCAGAATCTTCTTATCGGTGATCCAACCTCTTACTGTCTTCTCAATCCCAACGTACTGTTGGCTATATAATCCACTCCACCACATTTAAGGATATCGTCGGTGATAATGGACAGCCAGCCTTGTCTCACTCATGTATTCAGTTCGAAAGCCTCACTGAGTTTTCCGTTGTGTATCACCTGACACGTGGCCTAACTGTCATATAACCAGGTGTTGAATGGGTTTGATAAAGACTTGGGTACTTCACGCTGTAGTGTCAATGTGGTTTACAAATCACTTCTTGGTCAACGTTGTCTGTCTAAGGCCTTTTCGAATTCGATGAAGTTGAGGCAGAGGTTTGACTGCCATTATGTGCTCTGTTCTGTGACGATAATGTGTCGAGCTGTGATTTCACTAGCACATGATTCCTGAATCTAGTTTGTTGTGGTCTGGCGGATTTCTGCATCCTGCGCATGTTTCATTCTATGCAGGATGACGCGACTTAGTATTTCACTTTGCGTGGACGAGAGCATTATTCCACGACATCTCTAGCAGAGGTGTAGTTCTAATTTCGCTGGTAGATGGACAAGGTAGCCAGTGTTTCCTCCGAACAGTAGGCACATCTTCC